AGACAATGTGAAACGATGGAGTAACCGGAATATCAACATAGCAACATGACATATTCGATTGACACTCGGACATCTTAAGTTGAAAAACGTATGGTTTATGGATCACGTTAAGACATCATTAGTTGAACTTAGTCCGACTAACAACTGTCATGATGAATGCATCAATCGGTTTGAACATACACTGGTAACAACAGAAGTGAACGAACGAATAGATGTCTATAGACGCTAATGATACACATTTTTCAGTGGGAAATCATGAATTGATTGCAAAACGAACAATCAGTTTGGATATGGGAAGGAAGTCAATGCTCTGAATATACCCCGTAACAAATATTTCACTCATTTTGGATATTATTACCTTTTCACTGTATTCGAAGTGGTTCACCTTTATTTTTCTTGAATGAGTTAGCACTGATGTGATTATTAAAACAGTTGTATTTTATGGTGGGCGTCATGTAATCAATTCTGTGGTTAGCCTAACGTTGCAACGGAATCGAGGAATATTTGGAAATAGTATGGGATAATTGCGTCAGAAAACGCTCTCCTGAAGGAAGGTAGGCAGTTTCGGGATAACTAGACATAGAACTGGAAAGGAATGTACTGATATTAAGCTGAGGGTGTCACAAAAGATTTGAATTTCTTCGATACACACAGGATAAGCATGAAGATAAATCTAAAATCCGTGATCAATAAACAGTTTATAATTATGAATATTATTAACAATCAACGGGATTAACCTACTTTTCATCAATCCGGTTTATTTTGTTACAAAACTGTACACCGATTTTTATACTACTAATTATCATCCACTACTATTTAAACTGCTATGTCGCGGGTCCTGGAATTTACTCACTTTTTCGAATTCCCGATGGGTGCAACATAGCAGGAGATTGCCTGTAAATTGGGCTTGGAAAACCGCATTTTGATCTTGTCAACTCCCGCCAATCTGTAGTTCACACTGTTTCTCCACCCCACACCCTGCCTGTCTATGCGGATCACAGAAACTCAACCGTACAAACAACTAAAAACAGTTTCACCTTCCGGAATTCCTCGCACATACTCTCACCTTTATTTTATGCCGGAATCGTTGTCGTGAACGGAGTAGCGCCGGTCCAACACCCATCAGTGGAATGGCACAATTTTCCCCGGCCAATTGGTACATGTGACACAGATAGCACGGGGCACAAAATGTGACCAGCAAACCTGAAATTTTAAAAAAAAAAAAAAAATGGAGGGAAATATCAAAATACTATACGTGGAGCACACATTGGGATAGATTGTGATAGTGATACGTCGGTGAGGTATGGTATGAACCGGGTTACAGCAGGGATTGCGGCAAATTCGAGGCGGTTGCTTAACTCTCCCGCTTGGAACGTAAACTCCACACACGTCCTTTCAAAAGTCACCTTGCAGTTAGATATTTATTTCGGAAATATTTGTTTGATTGCGAGATGGTCGGGTGGATGAAAAAAGAGGATTGATCACCTTCACTTCGAAACATGCACATTCCTGTCTACGGCAAATGGACCCGAACTTGGAGTTATTTCTCAGGCTCTATTTGACACGATGTCTATCCTCTTCATCATAGACAAATAATGTGTTTAACAACACAAACTTGTCCCGGTTGAATTAAGCTCAGGAATTTCACGCGTCCCGCAAATGATTCAAACAATCTTTTCGAATGAAATTTTGCAAAGGCAATAAACAAGTTCATAGGATGGTGTTAGATTACATTCCGTCGCGGGAGTGATCTCAAGTCACGTCTACTCATGAGTAGTTGCGTTTGTGTGTGTTCGTGTGTGCGTGTGGCCAATTTTAATCATCTTACAGAATTTCTGGTTCACTCAAGTTATTTTGGGTTAACACGCATTTCGTCATGTGATGGATGAACATCAGTAGTGCAATTTTGTTCACAACATTTACAAATCAATTATGGAACTCGGTAATTGAAGGCCACGAAAACTGGATTAGTAGGTCACACCAAATCCCAACAGAATTGGGCCTGGAAAACGGTAAAAGCGTGGGCAGCAGCACTGGAATGTTTGAAACCTCGGCTTTCCGTTGGATTCAATTAACACTCCCTAGAAAGATGTATTTTTTAGTGTGTGGTAATGAGTTCGATTGATTGTTTCTCTTTCCTCAGATCATACGACCGAAACTTCCAAATTGTGTTGTTCCTTGTTATCACTTGACTCCGGAGAAAATAGAAAAGATCTAAGTGACAACCAGCCAAGTACCTGAATGCGTTATTCTTATTAGTGTGTACTCGCATCAATGGACAGACGAGTATTTAGTACAGTAGTGTAATCCATATCATAATCCCACAAGGATCATTGAACAACAATGGATGAGGTAAACGCATTGAGAACAGCAACTATTTATTGATTCCATAATATCCATGTGTGTGTGTTTATATACTCCAGACCTCGAGTGTCTTACGAAATAGGACGTTTGCTGATCGCTGCTTGATGAGCGGGTTTCAAATACGCACAGTTGTGTAAAACTCTACGATGATGCGCTGTCAACGCCACACGTACGATGAACATTTTATGCACTTGTGAATCCAGGGGTTTGTGAATTCAAAACCCTTGGGCTATACATTGTACACCTGTCGGGGGCATGGTGACACTATGCATATGTATATTGTTTGAGAGAAGCTGTAGACACTAGGCCATTGCATAGAGAAATTTCACCCCGTGTGAAAGTGCATTGCCATGTGGGGAATCAACTGATTGCCCCGGAGATAATACTCACATCAGAACACACAAACTGAGATCTTCAAAATTACACTAAGATTTTATGGGATATTCCGGACATCATTTTTCTCTTTACCAATTGTATGTTCAGGATTATAATCCTATGTTTCATTGAATGAATGCTATTATTTACCCGATAAAAAGCATTTCACCACGGCCAGAACTTGATCATCGGATTCAAGCCCATGTATCTTCAGAGGTTTTTCACACCTCCTTACATAGTCCCAGCCCTGGAGAATCCGGTGGAAACAAACAAACAATTTCTTTTATATCATAGAACAGGAGTCAGACAGATTCGACCAATTCGGCCGGTTGGTTGAAGCTATGGGGCAAACGGAATATCAAACTTGAAATGCACTGGCCACGGAATGCTTCCTCTCGTCCGATGTAAATTGCTGAAGAACTGTCTCCTTCCATCTTTGAAACTGATCCAGGCATTGGAGCTGCATAACAACCTGTTTTGTATTACATCAAAACAGAAAATAAGACAAATGTCGCTAGATGTTAACGTTTCGTTCAATTTTCTCAGTCGCTGAATTAAAACAAACAGGCACATATATAGCACATGGGATTATTCAGTTATGTTAAACAAACGTGTACAGACGCATACAAAGATTACTAAATTTTGAAGTAGAAGGTCAACTCCACAGTAAGTGCATTGCTTGTATCAAAACCTTCTGTGCGCACAAGGTCCGGTGATGTAATCGAATAAGCAATGCTTCACTAATCACCAAAAGTTTAGCATTTCGATTACGTAATAGTGGTCGGAAGGACGAATTAGAGTCAACTGTGTGTCTTGTTGCCATGAGATATTTTGCAAACAGATGATCCTGGATTTTTTGTAATCACTTGGCTACCATTTATCGGTTGCGTCATCGATTTCACCAGCCATAATCGACTAATCTCATGTGCTATATATGTGCCTGTTTGTTTCAAGTCAGCGACTGAGAAGATTGATTGAAATGTTAACATCTCGCGACATTTGTCTTCTTTCTGTTTTGATGAAATGGATAAAGGGAACTCAATGCTTTAAACGTTTTGTATTACTCAAGGTGCAAACCTTATTGGGGTAACTTTCATGATTGAACGGGTGTGTTGATAAACCTTATCTCATTTGCTGCTAGTACTATTATTATTATTATTATTATTATTATTATTATTATTATTATTATTGAGAGTACTGCCATTATAACAACAAATATATCGACATGCAAAAAGTATAGTGTTAGACTGTAGCAAACGTAGCTCCGCAGCACGCGCGCACACACACACACCCGGAAACACTGTATGTGGTAGTGAAACTCACAGGAGCTGGCATCATCGCAACATCCGCATAAAGTATTACTCCAGTCGCGCTCCTGTTCACTGTGCTATAATAGGGATGAATATGAACAAAGATTGAACAACAGTAAAGTAGAGGTTGGGGGGTTGAGTGGGAAAAATGAATTGATTCCCAAACCAGATCACAAAAACTCTATCACTTACTTATCGCTTGAAGTGATTTTAATGTTCGAACGATTGTCAATCGTACCTCCGTCTAATCATAATGTTGTGAGATACTACTTGCTTGTGAGTAGTATGTAATATAGTCGGTGATTTCTTTGAATGATCAAAAATATAACAAGATCAACGAGGGCCAAGTAATTTGTCTGAAAGAATAACTACAGACTGCCCCATGCATTATCCAGTGTGTCATCAGAAACTGCGATGGGATGTTTCTGCGTAGATTTTTTATGTATTCCAAATTGGTTATGTCCCATTGGAAATCCTCAATAAACAACTATCCCCGACAAGCACTGCCTTTTGGAATTACAACAATAGTAATCAGAGTATTTCAATTCTCTTTATTTATTTATTGAGTTACAATGATGTAATCATTTTTTCTCAAAAGGGGAAAGATGAAAGATTCGAAAAGTCAGACGATGTGGACTCGTTCGAACTCTTGAACTGCGTGTCTATTCGACGTATAATACTGAACTACCGCTTACCAGCTTCGACCGAATGATCCATAAACGTTAGACAGCTAGATCAAACCAGATTGTGATCAATCGAGATCCGGAAACGAGTGAGGTTTGCCTAGAACACACCAATCACCCGTTTTTTTTTCACCAACAGTCAACTTATCAGATGAAGAGCGCAATTTCTGAAGATATGAACAGGAATCATCTGCACGTTGACACACAACGAGGGAACTAACACTTCTAGGCATATATCATTCCTCAGCTACGGTGCATTCTGTCAACTCAAACAGTATTCATCCCGGTGACCTAAACTATATTCATGCTGAGTTTCCCGTTTTTTGTTTTGTTTGGGGGAAAGGAGCAGAGAGGCTCACCAGATTAGACATTCATCAGTTCAATTCTACCCTACTATTTGTATATCTCCAGATTTACAATTTCTTCCGGTAGCCAAGCGTTCTGGGATACGTATGGTGAATCAATGTGTTTGCATTATAGATATCTTGGGCGGTGTTGATTACACCTCAAGTGGAACAGTCTGTTGGAAGCAGTCGAATGGTCGAATGGTCACGGGTGTAACGCAACCTCACCCTATCCTCTGCGAGATCCCATTTGCAGTGTATATTTAACCGTTCCATTAAAGGCGACGCCCGACTCATAGATCGATCGATCCGATGACTCACACTGTGACATATGAAACCTTACCGGTTTGAACTTGTGTGGGCGTAACTGCGCTGCTTAATGAATCAGGGAAGAGCAAACGGGATCTGTTGCAAAGTTTCTTCACGATGGGAGTTTTTCACTTGTCTGGTTGCATGGTCTTGATTTCGGTTGCGGATATAGACGGCAGGGACCACTCATTATTCAAATTAATGAAAAACCTCACATTCTCTGTCGTTGACTGCAAACGTCCGACAGTGCTTGGATTGTTTTTATACTATTATGTGAATAACTCGACAAAATTTCCCTGGAACCTGAATAAAATAATGGACAAAGACTGTTATGTCAACCTTTTCGCGATTGATTTTATCTACTTCATTGACAGGATATCGATTCATGGTACCGGGGCGAAAGGGGATGTTTAAACACACACAAAAAAACATATTAAGAAAACACTGTAGCTTGTTTTCGATAACTTCCTCCGTGGGCTAATACAGTTATATCAATTCATCTGGTTGTTCTCAAAAGCGGTTCGGCCAGTCACTTCCCTTACCCTGACCTCAACCTGACACAGCCTGACCGAAACGACCGTGACCTTTGTTATGACCCATGAGCGCAGACCGCAAATAGAACAGCTCACTCCATCCAGCGACTGTGACCATTTCCAAACCACACAGGGACGACAACAAAAAGCTCGGTCCTTCCGTTTCCAAACCACATATCGCAAGATCACAATCAACCAATCATATTCATCACATCAGCTCATAACACTAGTTTGACAATTTCGAACCGTATATATANTATATAATTGTATTAGCACGAAGAGGAAGTTATCAAAACAAGCTTTGTTCGCTACAGTGTTTTCCTAATGTCACGATGGGAATATACAATAAAACACACACATACACATATATCGCCAATGGAATATTTGCATCAAATAAATATATCATAATAATATGGAATTTTCAGTAGAAACCACTGACAGACTTGGAATATCTTTACCGAACTGCAAAGGTTGTTAAAACATACTTCAACGCCAATCGTATTAGCGTCGTGAAAAACTCTACGGATGCGAATTCGGCAAAACAAAAGAATACCGCATTTCAACTGAGAAAAAATAACATCTGAGCATATAACTGTTTTCTTTTTTGTAAATTCTGAAACTCTGTTTATTCACAGCTAAGCAAGTATTTCTTGGTGAGGCGATACAGATAGCAAGTTAGGATTCAATGTGGATGTCTAATGTACAGCCTTCTCCATCACACTGAAATTGCGAACCCAAAGTTGTGGTTTGGAGATCAGAAAACGCGCTCTGTTTGATCGTGTCAAATCCATTCAACAGTTGTCAACCCCCAGGATGATTGCCTCGTAAGCTGTCCGTGTGAAGAGAAGAAGCTCGCCCAATTGTTTCGGGTACCTCCCAATTGTTCTGGTGATTTTTGAAGCCATTTTGTGTAAGTTTGTGGCCTAGACACCGTTGCATACAACCAAAAAAACAACGTCACAATGCCTTGGCAATACTACATCCGTAAGAAAGTGTTTTTTTTACTAGAAAATTTTCTCCGTGACACTGATAGAGCAAGACAAGTAGTGAACAAGCTCGTTTTGGATAACATGTTCCACTGGTTAACACAGTTATATGTCTATGAAGTAAACCGACATGCGACAAATAATGTCAGAATCAATATTGATTGAATGCAGGTGATTAGTTGTTGGAAAAGATGTAAAACTAAAAATCGTTAACCAGTGATTTCGAACAGGGAATGAAAGAAAGGGAGGGCAAAGGGAATGAAACAGGACGGACAAGATCATATACTTGTGGTCTGAGTCAAACAGACGTGGTGGTGGACGGAAATTGGTAACGTTCGTTTTAGAGAGAAGAAACTAAAAACCTTGTTTGATATGTTAGTTTTTGTTGAAGTGATTAGGTCATCTATGTTCTGACAAAGCATACCCTATTGTCAACTGGAGTAACACAGACGAAGCTTTGCAAATGTCAACATTATACAATCATGTTATTATCTATTTAATAAAGGATAATCCTCAGATGTTACCATGAAGCACCTTTTCAACGTGCTGGAAGCTGATAGACCGTGAAAAATAGACCCGTGTATTTTTTTTGTTTAGAAAGCCAATGTGTCCCGGTTAATGTTTAACGTGTTTTGTGTTTAGACAAATCCAGTCCAATGATGGTACTATGGTACTGTGTGCAAACGAATGCGTTTGTCTGGTGGCATCATCATTGTTGCACTAATTTCTCGAACATCAAAATCGTTCTCATTATCCTACTTGAAAACTGTATTTACATTGATTTGTTAAATGACAGACAAGTGAATAGTGCTTTTGGTAATTGTCTTTCTCAACATATTCCATGAACCTGCACCTGTTTGGGGCAATGCTTCAAGAATACGGTGTTTATCATGTCAGACAGAATTTATCGTTTCACAATCTACTTACAGTAAACGACACTTAACTGTATCCGAGTGAGCCATTACAGACTGGTTAGAATGTCAATTGTAGTCGTTTCCATGGTACACATGTATCTAACTAGAAAGCACAACAATAGCATTACGATACCATGGTTACCAAGGTCGTACAGTTCGCCTAACCGGTCGTTGAATGAATCAACTAAATAGGTTATCTTCGGATTTCTGTACAAGAAAGCCACACTTAACAGGAAATTAGTTACAGCTCAAAAAAATTCACCAATCGACTTGAGCCTAACTATGGCACGTATCAAAAGATAGAAAATAACATATGGGAGCCAAAATCAATTTCCACAATCAGTGCTAGTTTTTATTTATCCAAAGTATGGGTGATATGTTTTCAGATCGATCGAGAGAAAAACCGGTCATCCAAAATGAAGAGAAACGTATCTATCTGATCTCTCAAATTAGTTCCACATCCTTGTGACAACGTTTATGATTAGAGCTGTTATTATGTCGAGATTGTGAAAAGTTCAGTAGTCAAACCCGCGCACGGACGCCACCTACGCCTTTGTACAGCGCACGCTCTACCAGCAGCCACACCGATACCACTGATCTTTTCACACCGGTGTGGCCTAGTAGCTCAGCTGGTAGAGCGTGCGCTGTACAAAAGCTTAGGCGGCGTCCATGCGTAGGTTCGAATCCCACCAAGTTTACTGAACTGTTCCCAATCTAGACATAAAAACTTCAAATCCGCCAAACAACAATCAGAACTCTTATTATTACTCTCAATTGAGGAAATTGTATAATGTCCTCAATAAAGTATTCCCGCTTTTGCCACATCGTTCCTATTGGATGATTTCAACTCCCTCTCTCTTTTCCTGCATTGACCTCGCATCAACCTTGGTTCGTGATCTGGGAGGTTGCGGGACGCATGATTTGATTCCCGCGAACGAGGTGGGACTGATCAATGAGCTGAGCTACTGTAACGCATTTCTGTAAAGAGTGACCCGGGAAACAGAGACACAGAACGGAAAGGTACGGGAAAATGGGTAGGTCGAAATCACAAACAAGCTGGTGAGGGAGCAATAACATCAAACTATGCTGAACGGAAGCTGAATAGGGTATTGTAGCCTTGTTTATCAACCATCCAAGCTAGGAAAAAGCGAAAGGGTGATAAACGTATTCTGTTGATAACATGGATGTGGTTTAAATGGAAGGCGAAATATTGGTGCCAAATTTCAACTATGCCATTGCACGCATGATTTGTGCATCTCCGGCTCCGAATAAATAAACTCGGTGTCAGCAGCAGCAGCTGTACTGTGAGTGCTTCATAGATTTTGAGTTCATGCCTAATTTCATTCGGTATATGATCAAATCCAATTTTTCTGTCATCTGACACGTAGTGCGGTTTGGAATGTGTGTCCAACTGAGTCACGAACGACCTTGAATGCTCGTGCTGAAATGATGTGGTGATTCTGGCCTACGAGATGACGCAGACCCTGAAGAGACACGTGACAGTTTTAGGACAACGGTTATCAATCACTGTTTACAGGTCATGTCAGTAAAGCGCGTGTGCTCCACACCTTACATAGTTCGGTTGTACCAGCCAATCAGAAACCGTGCTGCCAAGACAGAAGCAGAACAACAGCAGAAATACTAGAACGCGATTGGCAAAGGTCCGAATGACCAATGAGTTTGTTTTGTACATAGCCTTTAGCCCCATTACCTCTTTCAGAAAACGAACTACAACTCCCGTGACCTTTCTTCGCGTCTCAGTAACGTGGAATGTCGCATACAAGTGCCAGTGTGGTCCAGTGCTTACGTGACGTCCATGACCGCTAATCAGTGATTCGTATTTCGTGATTCTTTTTTCGTGTTCATTTCGTTAAATTACTACCATTACCACAACCACTACAGATGAGTCAGGTTTTGATACCGGCAACGAGTTCACAGAGAACAGAGT